TTTTATTATTATTATTATATTGTATATATTCATTATTTTAACTTAAAAATTATTTCAACATTATAATTATTTTATTTATGAATAAATATATTAATTATTGTTAACTTACTTAGTTTTTACTTCTATCGGCAGTCCCTAAAGACGTTTTTTCTTTGCTTTGATTTATTGTACCAAGGGAGAGATGAGACAAATCTTTGTCAAGAAATGTATTTAATGATGAACTTCGTTAATCACAACAAAGACGTAAATTTGCTTTGTTATGAGGAAGATTAATATATATTTAGTTTTCTACCCTTAACAAAATATGTGGCCATTAATGACTACATTTTATCGTCTTAATAAAAATTCGTTATGTAATAACATACACGCAACAAATACTAATCAATGTTTAAGTAAAGCTAGAAATTTTGCGTAATAATATTATGTTGCGTGTATGTTATATAATAATATATATATTATAAAATCAGAAAGTACATTTTTTTGACAAGCTATTAATTTTGTATATTTTAATGACTAGTTTTCAAGGATATTACTTGTGCAACTTGACTACCTCATTTAGATTTGACCAGTTTATTTTTTAATAAAACAAACTTTTATTTAATTTATTAGTTAATAAAAACAAGTCCTTTCATTTGATACCCATTTCATTAGAGTTAATGTGAAAATTATAACTCCCATTTTGCAGCGGTCGGCATATTGGATTTAGAATGACGTCACTTTACTGTGTCTTGATAATGAACCCCTTTCATTTGACACCCATATAATAGTGTTTAATGTGTAAATTATATATCACCATTTTATATTGGAACAGCACCATTTGAAAAAGGACGGCATTTACGTAACTGTGCATTATCACGAGTACTAAACCAGTGTGCCAAATTTCAGCCTCGTCGGATACTGGGAACTGGATCAAATTTAACTTGCAAGATTCCACAACAGGCACTGAGACAGGGGAAACTAAATAAAAACTTGTAAATGTAAACTATTATTAGTTAATAATTTAATTTTCATTTTTAATTTTCTCGTATTCTATTTTACTTATTGTTGTTTATCTATTTATATAACATTAATTAAAAGAATTGAAATGTAACCTTATGATAGTTTATTGGCAGAAACGGGGAGTCACGTATCAAATTAAATGATAAAAAAGAAAAAAAGATCAGTTCATTTACCAAATGATCAGTTAACTTTCCCTTTACATTCTTAGGCTTGTATGTTGTGGCAATTATTGTCATTTTCCATTACATATAAAAGTACAACCTTTATATTATGTGTTTTATACACACCCAATGACCCTGACTCTTGTACTAGAGGGTGTGGATTCGATCCCCAGTACTGGAAAAATATTGTGTGATGAACATTGTGTTTTTCCAGTGTTTGGGTGTTTATGTATATGTAATAGGTATGAATTTACAAAAGAAAAGTATGTTTAAGTATGTTTATCAGTTATCATACCAGTACCCATAATACAAGCGTCGCTTAGCTTGAGAATAGAAAACATTGTATAAAAATATGTCCTGAAATATTGATTATTATTTATTTATTACATGAATTATGATTTAACTTTCGGTATTCTATAGCAAAAATCTTTTTACATATTTGGTACGTATTTTGCGTCTTTCATCAAAAAGCTGCACTGCTAGAGAACTAGCGTCTCCCAGGTAACGCGCCTAGACGCTTTACCAACTAAGCTATCAGTTTCCAATGACCTCACCACAGCCCTTAGCTTTTTTTTACATTTATGACATCTTTAACATTTATGGTGGTCGGACATAATAAACATAGATTTTTTTTACATACGTTACAAATTGTCCTCAATGGATTGAAGGAAAACTATCAGGAATTAACTAATTAATAAAAATTTATTTAAACAAAAGGCTATGTTTACAAAAGTGACCAAATGCATTTCTTTTGTGTTTATTCTGTGAGTATCACTGACTTCTCATTTCTTTCTTTCTATCTTTGTAAAGTTCCGTTCAGCTTATCTTTATTTGCTCTCTCTTGGTCTTGTACAGCATTGGTTTGTGTTGTGAGTCGTTTATTCTTTAACGAAAAATGAAAAGTACCTAGCTCTTTTCATATTTTTTATACTATTGGGAACAACAATTTGCATCCAATTAGTCATAATTTCTGTCAGATTTGCTGATGTGCGTATAGAGAGACCCATATCTCGCTTAATTGACTTTTCATAAGTTTCTGAAAACGAAAATAAAAATTCAGCAAAGAAGTTTTTATTTCGTCAGATTTAAATTGACCAATGTAAGACATATTATGCGGAATTCTAACATCCAATTTATTATATTTTATAAATACCCAATACACTTTTAACTGACAAAGTTTTAACCAACGAGTGTTTAACAAGGACCCTGATAGAATTGTAATACTTAATAACTTTTAGAGCGCTCTCGCAACAAGTAGAATAGTAAGAATTTTAATCTGTGGATCTAGATTATCAAGAACGCTTTAAAGTTAATTCTGCAATAAAATTATGAAAAGTAACAAAAAAATGCATTTGCAGAGTTAAATGTTGAATTTATCTTTCATCATTAACTGTTGTCATCTTCTTAATTAATAAAAATGACCGTTTACTCATCAGTTACTCAAGAATGGCTGGACCAATTCGGCTAATTTATTTGTTCGTATGTTACTTAAGGTCCACGGAAGGTTTTATATACTAAAAAAAAGAACGAAGTCCGCCCGAATACCTAGTTAACTATAAATATTTAATGGAATGTACGTACAGAGACTACACGTGAAATTAATTAAATGAAGAATATAGTTGAACATAGAACATAGAACTAAATGAATTAATAGTTGATTAGATTAGACTATCATATATATATCGTGATAATGAATTGAAAGTCATACAAAATTCTTAACATTTGTACTTATACTGGGTATTACGAGTGCTAACATATTATAGTCAACAGAAATTACAAATAATAAAAAAGGACACCAGTTATGCATCTCCCTACCCTCCTTGACGAATAATCTGCTTTTAGTAAACTCCTCTAATCCCAGCTTCTGATTCTTATTTTATTATGCAAAAAATCTGTCCCATCGAATTATGTTCAAAATATTACTTTATATGTGTAACTAACCGCTTTAACGACGTCCATGTATAAGTTATGTTTTTTAAAGACTTAACTGTAATTGTCTCTCTGTCAAACAAATTCTTATCATGTAACACGTTTATAAAGACGAGTTATATAAATAGATATGTAATGCACAGTTTAAGACCATCTAAAATAATATACCTTGTAAATGATAGATTTTTTTCCGATGCGGATCCGAATAATACACATCGCAATGTCAAAAAATTGGCACTCTTTAGTTATAATATTGCTAAATATAATCATCATTAACAACTTCATTGTTGATTTTGTTTCATTTTTAAACTCTATGATGGAGCAGAATGTACATACTTATAAAGTGAAATAAAATCTAAGAGGAAAACCCGGGGAAAATTATAATCACAAAATGAAATCTGACTCCCAGTTCAGATAAGGAATATATTTGATGATAATGACAGTTCGTATTTTCAATAAAGACTATACCTGTTAAAAGTATTAATTTTAAACATAATAAAAATAATTAAATCTATAATCAGGTCACTGCCCACATTTTTATTTGTTGAAAAAACAAGAAGTTGTGTAAGCATACTTAGATTTTTTTTTATGTGAAAAATTGCCAAGCGAGCAGACGGTTCACCTGATGTTAAGTGAATATCGCCGCCCATAGACATGTGCTATACCCGAGGGATGCAGGTGCGTTGACAACCTTTTGAAAATTGGGCTCCGGCCACCTCGCTCATCAGACGAAACGCGAAAGTATTATACTTCCACTTTACGCCGGTCTTCTGTGAGGTCGTGGTACTTACCCGGACGAGCCTGCCCTTTCGTGCAACAGCCGAGGCTGCTGCGTGGCCCTACCACCGATAAATCCATTACAACATTAATATTCATTATTCAATATAGGGCCCTCACTGAGCGAAATAGATTTGTAGAGTATTTAGGTAGAAACTTTTAAAAATAATTGAAGATTTTTCTAACAAAATAGATAATATTGCTAGCATTACCTTATTAGGGGGCAATTAAAGTAACAGCCTGTAAAATAAAGTAACAGCTTAAATATAACTCACTATTAAGGCAAAGGCCTCCTCCGTATAGAGGTTGTTAGAGCATTTTCCACCAACATAAATTTTAAATACACTTCTTTTTATTATTATTTCGATGGGCTTATATGGTCGAAATTACATAAGAGAAATATGGTCTCAGTCCAATAGAGTTTTATGAAGTCAATTCGACTTCATAAAAGCTTTAAACTCCATAAAGTATATTTTTCTTAAGGAAATTTTATGATAAGCATTAAACTTCCTTTAAATCTTGAAACTTCATTCAGTTTCCCTATCTGATGAAATCTTTAATTGATTTGATAAAGTCAAAGGTCAAGGAAAAAATACAATCCAAAATCAAAATCAAATTTGAATGAAAAACTTGTGAAAAACAAATTGCCGTAATCACATACTCAATTTTTAGCATTATTAATTATTATTATTCGAAATACATCAATTTTTGTGATAACACAGTTCCTGATTTATTACGACGTTAAACATACCTTTCATGGCTCATTAAACTTTATCGTTGACTAGATTAACTTAAATAATCGTGCTCGTTCTCGTATAATCTTGAGTAGTAACAATATTGATTCTCATTTATAAGCTGAAATGATTTGATATTGAACAAAGAAGAAAATTAAACATGTTATTGAATAGTTCTCATCTTTATTAAAATACAAAAATGCTAACAGTAAATGCATATGAAATAAATAATACGGTTTATAAATTAAATTATAAAACGTAGTAGTTTTTTTATTATGTTATCATAATATTTAAAGCCCTTTTGGGTATTACATGCTCTCAACCTTTGGACGCATATTGCAGATTTCATAAACCATCTGAAGATTATGGTAAAGTGGTGCTCTAACATGTAAGGAACTTATCTTGGCACAAATTTGACGCTCAAACCGTCTTTGGGCGCTAAAATAACACTGTAAGGATCAGTTTCCACTTCGTAGGGTATGTCAGCAGGCTTCAATTCGTAAGCGGAGATCAGTTGAACAAGAGCGGCGCGTATTTGCATCATGCCATATCGTTTACCTGTGGTTATTAAAAACTCGTCTGTTACCTTATTCGTACTCGCGTGTGTTAATCCGAAGGATACTTAGTGGGTTTTTCCCAAAGCAAGACTCTCTACTTAAGGAAAGAAATATCTAACGGTAATGTTGGATAATTGATGACTCGATTTGTGGACTTGCGTATAGTCGTGGGTTCGACTCCAAAGAGGCCAAGTATTCCTTTCAATTCGAGTGACCCGCAGATAATCTGGGTGTACATATGTCAAATTTCAAATTTATATAAATCATCCTTACAACATAGGATAATACATATTACCCAATTTAAATACAGTCAGGGAAACGGTCGAGCTGTCTAGAACGGAACAGTGTTATTAATGACAAGCTATGCAAACTAAGTTTTTAATAATTTTAATGTATTTACTTACTTTTGCGGCCGCCACTTTATAGCGATGCCCTAGTTACTCTTTACGAGTTAAGACTAAGTCGTTAGTGTATATGTATTATGCTATAATATGTCAGTATGTGACAGAATTTACTAAACTTACCTATACAGAAGCGTGGCCCTTCACCGAACGGCAAGAATGTGAAATTAAGATTGTCACTGTCCGACGAACAGTTCATTCTCTCCGGCAGCCATTTCAGCGGCTCCGGGTAAATGTCCTTATTGTAGTGTATCGCCAGGACGTTTATAAACACGGGTGTTCCTTTCTCAATAGTTATGGAATCATTCAACTTGTATCTATGATTACATATCCTGTCTAAATACGCAACTGGCGGGTATTTACGCATCGTTTCTACAAAACAAAAACAAAGTTTTCATTAACTCGGTTATAATTGTGTGTGAGTTTGTTTCCAAAATCCCTTCGCTAAGTAAAAAATAACCTATTTACTTATCTTTTATACAGTACGTTGTATCAAGTATCATATTCGATGAATGTATGTGACCCCTAATAAACAATTTTTTGATACAGATACACTTAGATAGTGATTGATACGCTTAAGTTTATTAATACTTTACCACAAATACATGTTTACTATTTTTCTTACCATTAATACACGAAGATAGAAATTTTAAGTTTAACAATTCTTCAAAGCTTAGAAACTGATTTTCACTGTTTTGTAAAGCTTGATTAACTTCGTTATAAAGTTTCTCCTGAAACAACAAACGGTAAGTATATAGCAAGGTTAAAAATCTAAATATTGAAAGTTCTTTTGAAACGAATCCTGCCGTTCGCTCTGATAAGCTAATGTAAACAAAAATGATGACTCGATCGCGCCATTGCTTAGCTGTTGGCTTCAGCGTCGGGGGTCGTAGGTTCGACTCCCACGCGGTACAAGTATTTGAGTGACTGACAAATATTTGTTCCGGATCTGGGTATTTTTTTCCGAAGGAGGTCGGTAAGGCCGGTGGCCGGTGTTAAAAACATAGCCAAAACCGCTTAAAACATGATTCACATGTTGTGCGGACCGCACCTAGGTGGGATAAGGGTAGGAAGATGATGTTGAGGGTAATGTAAATAAATTATATGTGTACCGATATGTAAGCATGCGCATTATAAAGAGGTGACGCCAGCGTAGTTCGTTTATAATTGATACCTTGTAAGAAGGGAAAAACATCCATAATAAACAGTTACAAGTTTTATCGCATTAGGTTTTCTCTGTGTGGAAACTTTCCCGGGCATGCCTGCCCATTCGTGCAACATTGGGGGCTGTTGCGTGACCCCGTCACAGATTATTCTAATGATAGAACCACTTATATCGCTTCATACTGCCCACTCGGAAACGAAAGGTGACGACGATTATTTAGCACAAAAATATGTGATCATATGATTTTCGTATTAACGTTATTATCGGAGTATTCGTTATGCTACATACTTGAATACAATACAAATTAACTATAATATAATAATAATGTTTTTATGTTTATGTAACAACTTACATAAACATAAAAAACATTATTATACACAAAAAACATTATGTAACAATTTTTATAATTATGTAACAACTTACTTGTTCTTTAGGGTAATTGGCAAGTTCGTGCAAACAGTAGCTGAGGACAGTAGACGACGTCTCAATGGAGCCCAAAATAAAAACTGCCGCTTGTGCCAGCATCAAATTGTCAGCGAGTTCTTAAAATATATTACTTATTGTGTTATATCTTATTACAAAATTACATTATAGAGAAAACCATAATAGAATAAAGTTCAATCCACGTACCTGATCCCGATTCAGCTGGTAGTTTCATATTTTCTTTAATCTTAAGTAATTGGTTTACGAGATCTTTATTGTTTGATATATTATTTTTCTCGCGTTCTCCGACAACATTCCAAAAGATTTTCTTAATGAATTCAGTAGCCGCTTTCGAAAAGAATTTTAACCTAAAATGTTCATATTTAAAATTACATTAGAATATTTAACAAGATTTATATGTATTATCTTATTATCAAATGTGGCAAGCATATATATGCAGGCTGATTAAAGCACGATAATTCGTGCAGAAACACATGCAGTGTCTGAAAAAAACTTGGTTAAAGTACCATTGTAAAGATACTAGCGACCCGCCCCGGCTACGCACGGGTGCAATGTATTATACATATAAACCTTCCTCTTGAATCACTCTATCTAGTTAAAAAAAAAACGTATTAAGATCCGTTGCGTAGTTTTAAAGATCTAAGCATACATAGGGACAGACAGACAGCGGGACCGCTTTTTTTTTATACTATGTAGCAATTAAATTGTACAAATTCAGTACTTATGATAGTTCATAGAGTCGAGCTTCGTTATTTCTTACTTGCCTTAATAAAGCTGCTACAACAGGAACAAAGAATATCATAGTGAATTCAAGGCCCCGCCAGAAAGTCCATTTGACCATGTGATTGGTTATGTACCATAGGGGCGAATCTTGATCATTTAACACGCTGACTCTTATACCAAACACACTATAAGCAACTGTATCCGAGGTATACATAGAAAACAATTCCTGAAAAAAAATTACTAACAAATTTCCATATGATCAATATCTTACTTAAGTGGAATTTAGTCTTCATTCCTATTAATACCTTACCTAACGTTGGAAACTGGTGGTGTAAGGATAAGAAAAATAATAATTAGGGTCTAATGAATATATTTTAGTGGCGATTTAGATTTTAAACTCGACTAATAATTTTTATTTGTGACGAACTACTGAAATGTTGGATGAGTTAGGTTGCATATTTTTATTATATTTTGGAACCAGATCTTGCGTCATTGCGAGAAAATCGATAAAGTGGAAGGCCGCTTTCTGAGTGATGGAACTATACTTCATCAAAAAATATAATCTATATTATAAATAATTATAATAACGACCATTTAAGAAATTCGCCTTGATATGTTGTAGGACAAAGGTTATATTATAAAATATATAAATCTTATGTTACCCAAATTTATGGAATCTAATTACTCTAATCTCTAAAAATTACGTAATAACCCCGATAGTGTTAAATAATTGTTTGTTAAAATTCAATGTCAGCTATCAAAGCAATTGGAATCCTTATAAAAAGTACCTATTGCGTGTTCGAGTTTAAGTTTATGAAATAACTCACCTTTAAATTCACATTTTTATTATTGCCAACATAATCGCGTCTAATCTTTGACACTAGTTCTTTAGCATTTATATTCATCAGTTCCGTGATAATTTTCAACCGGGAAGGCGTGAACATCGGCGCTAGTTCACGGCGCATTGCTGACCACATCGGATTCTAAGGTAGAGATGGGTAGAGCTTTTTTTTATTCTTCATATTAAAATAAATTTATAATCTCATTCAACTTTACATAATTCATTAAGTTTTTCCACTTACCTTAACAGTAAATAAATTCAAAGAACCTAAGGGATCGGAAAATCCCGCATACAAAAACCGGTCTTGAAAATATTCGAAATCCTTTACAAGTATTCTCCTCGCGAATTCCGGTGTCTGCAACATAAGAGCCGGTTTCCACGCCAAAAATATGCCAACGTAGTCACTCGGATGTTTGTTTTTCAATTCATAACAGAAATCCCAGAAGCTCCTTCTCATCATGAACGCAAGATTACCAAAGAAAAGGAATGGCTTTTCGTAAGGGATTCCGCGATCACTCCAGTAACTATAATTAATATAATAGAACCAACATATCAACATAAAACAAATGCTGAACAACAGAAGGGCCCAATTAAAAACCACGTCAAGTATGTACGTAAAAAGAACGTCCATGTTGAGGCAACTCCGTACTATTACTGAGCGGATTGTAAGGAAAACAACATGAGACATATTATGTTAAACCCGTCCAGATAAAAATAACTACTGTGATAAGTTGATATCGGTTATCTGTTATGATTGTTACAAAATAAATCAATGTAATTCAATTTTTATTCGGATATACGTGTCATAGTAACACGAAATTTTAATTTATTAGCATGAAACTAACTTGATGGTAATAAATTAAAATTTCGAACCTTTCCTTACATAGTATAAAACAAATTCGCTCCTGATGTTTGTACGCTTAAATCTTTTAAACAACGCAACGGGTCTTAATACGGTTTTCAGCAAATGATATAGTGATTCAAGCGAAAAGTATGTAAGGTATATGTAAATATGTATATTATAGTAGAGAAAAGACGAGTACAATATTAACATTACACCCGCGCGAAGCCGGGGCGAGTCGCTAGTGCTATTATATAACAAATTTACTCTGTCAATATGTACAAATATACACTGAAGTAATAAATTCAACAATTGTAGATACTTTTTATCATAAACACAGACGAGATGATAGAACCGTGTTCTAATCAATTCCTATAGAATTTTACTATTACCTACCTTTAATAAGTAAAAATCATCATTCGTGTAATAATTTCCAAGATTACTCTTTACATAGATTGCCCACCTTTTTAAGAAAAATTTTTAAATTATAAAAAAAAATACTTCCATAATTTTGTCTTAGTCTCTGCACTCACGATGAAACTTAAAATGTGAATTTTTGTAGATAAATGAACAAAAACTACGTTGCTGAAGGATTCGATCCTGGGTCTTCTAGATAACGTATTCAGATACTTATCAAATAAGCTAAGCGGCCGTTGACGTCACGAAAATCTCGACATCAGTCTACGTTCTTAATTGCATTTTTAACAATGCTTGGCGCTACTCGTAACTGTCGTTACAAATCTTAATTGTTAAGTTCGTTAAATTAATTCTTTACTTTTAGTAAAAAATTCTCAGTGATTTAAACTATAATTCAAAGCAAAATCAAATGGTTGAATGAATGAAACAAAATAAAAGTATTTAATTCATTTATGACTTATCTTTGTAATATCATTCCATAATTATATTTAATGATATATATTAATTGATATTCATTGCGGTTTAAGGTTCCGTACCCAAAGGGTAAAACGGGACCCTATTACTAAGACTTCGCCGTCTGTCTGTCCGTCTGTCACCAGGCTATATCTCATGAACCGTGATAGTAAGACTGTTGAAATTTTCACAGATGATGTATTTCTGTTGCCGCTATAACAATAAATACTTAAAAACAGAATATGTGCTGGGCCGGATTTTGTAATTTTTCAGGAATCTGCATTATTTATTTATTATTGCAAAAATACAATTTACAAATATTGTATTAAAGTAATACAAACATAAACCCATAAGAGTTTTATCGTGTACCAGTACATAGTAACAACCATAAAGATTATTAAGAGTGGTAGGGCCACGCCACAGCGTTCACTGTTTCACGAATAGGCAGGTAAACGGACCTAGGTAAATACTAAAACCTCACAGAAGAGAAAGTGGCAAACGAGCTGGCGGTTCACCTGATGTTAAGTGATAACCGCCGCCCATGGACAATTGCAACGTAGCGTAGGGTTGCAGACTGAATAAAGTGGACCCTGGCTACCTCACTCACCTGATGGAACGCAGAAGTATAATACTTCCACATCACGCCGGTCTTCTGTGAGGTCGTGGTCCTATTCCGAACGGACCTGCTCATTCATACAACAACGAACACTGTTGCGTGGCCCTACCTAAGTTCATCAGGATATCGATATATGTTAACTAATAGCAGTTAAAGTGACAATAAAAGAACATGCCTTTTTTGATTTTATCTACATGTCTACAATAAGAAGGCTCTACACTATACGTGAGTAATCCCAGTTAGTGGATGCCGTAATCACTTATGATACGGCCTTGTGGCTACCATGATAAATTTTACATTAAAATATTTTATTAATTATGTAAATAGAACTGTATTGATTATTAAGAAATATAATTATATATACCTAAGTAACATTATGTAGATAATTATTTAAAAAAGAAATCTTTGCTTTGTTGCTAAATTTATGATAAAAAGTGTCTTTCTGATTTTACCTAGTTGAAATACATCGCTAAGAAGACATCGCTTTTTATTCGAATGGACTATAGAATGGGGACTTGACCCGTATCCTTTCGAACAAAAGTGAATGCCAAACACGGTTTATTCAGTACTCATTTTTAAAATTTTTATATATTTGTACCTGTTTCAATAACGGTATAAAAAAGTATTCTATAAATAGTTGATCTTAACTTATATTTTTAATTATGCATAGTAAAATTTGCTGTTCCTTTGGATTTGTACTAAGAGCCGCGTTCTTGTTTATTGCCATTCACTATTTACTTATAACAATAAAATTATTTAATCGAAAAGAGAGTTAGTTATTTGCCGTAAATTAAGTTCTGGTAACATCAAAAATTTCGCGTTTCTATTAGAAACATTTAATTAGAGAAAAAGTGTACCTTACTACTAACCCAGTAGTAATGAAAGTAAACAAAGCCTTAAATGTTATTTGAAATATAATAGATAAGATATAAATACGTCGAGATCAATACATGATACAGTAGCACATCAATATCACATCTCTTCCTGCGTATATGAGTGTTTAAGATATTGCCGTAAATAATTTCATTGTTAATTACGTACTAGCAACAGATACCTTACTATGAGGAAAAATATTGTTGAAACGTTGCGACTGTAAAGGCACATAAAAACAGATGAATGGACAACCCGGTTAGTCAACATCAGTCTCACATCAACGTCAACAAGTCAGGTTCAATCTTTTTATCAGAATTAATTTTAATCATTTTATCAATCTTCCGTGGAGCCGTGATAGCTCAGTGACCGGGCGCTCGCCTTTAATGCAATATACTCGAGCAACCTGAGTTTGATCCCCGGTGCCGGCACCAATGAAATTATTAATTTTAAGTGCCGAATTATCACGTGCTCTGCAGTGAAGGAAAACATCATGAGGAAACCTGCATATTTTCGAAATAATAACAAAAAGAATAGATATTTCGATGATATGAGAAGTCCACCAACCCGCAGTGGGGCCGCGTGGTGGACTATGCCCTGATACCCTCTGTACAGAGGAGGTCTTTGCCCAGGAAGGAGCATGTATAAGCTGATACTGTACTTTTACTTTATCAATCTTCATTCATTCATGCTATCTAGCAAAGATAAAAATATTTTTTTATATGAAAAGCGGTTCTCCGGATGTTAATTTAATACTTAACGATAATATCCTGATACTTATTATGGTTTTTAAACTTTAACAAATAACAACCAAATTAAATTTCACAATAATTAAAAATTTCACTTAGAAAATATTACACGAATTACCACAAGGTTTTCTTATCTTGTATAAATATCTATAAAGTTTCGGGGACACTGATGTCAATGTCTAAATTCGAAAATAGCTCACGAAGAGCACTCTGTCTAAATGAAAATTTCGAAGTTACTTCGTTAGTCGAACTACTGATAAAAGCTTTTAATTCTGACAGTTTGCATTGTGTGCGAGAATCTAAAAAAGACTAATAAACTTTAACCCGAATGGAGAACTTAGGAACCTACAGATCAATCCTTGTTATAATGATTTACTTTATTGTCATAATTCTAGAGAAAGATAATAATATATACAGTATATATATATAGTATACAAATCCAATAAATGATCATCGCTTTTGAACGTAATATTTACTATTTATCAATGATATTACAATTACACTTCATCATCATCAATTCGAAAAGACCACGACTGTGATAATGCTAGCTAGTTAAGTGCCCCCGAGACCCCTCTGGTCCCTACTTCCGCTTGGACTGTTACTCAAAAGCCGTTTAGGATTCCGATTCGAAGGTGTCCGAGAGGGCCGGACCCATAGGCGTATATAACAGGGGGGGCCGGGTGGGCCTTGCCCACCCCAATATCGTCTAGTGCCCACCCCAGGAATTTAGGTTACCCATTCGAAATTCAAAAACACACGCAGTCTGCTGCACATCACCAAATTAAGAAAATGCATTGTACACATTTACATCAACAATCAAATTTCCATGAGTAAATCGTCAGCCAATGTGAAAAGGAAATTGAGCAAAATAAAGAAAATGTTCTAAAAATAAAAGAGATCAGTGCTACATCTAGTATTTCAAGGATTGCCTTTAAGGAGTCACCATTAAATATCTGAACCAAAAAATTAGGGTAAATTTTTAGAAATAATTCAACCTTTCGCTAAATACGATGAATTTAATCAACATAATCTGATTCATTACAAAATAGAAGTGATCGTAAATAAAATTATACATGGCAGATGTTAAAACGAAGAAAAAATATCGATAGGTTTGAGACGTAGCAGGTTTAGAAGCTGAAGAGTCGTTCATTTTTTAAACAAATGTGATTTGGATAATGTTCCCATAATAGCGCAATCATATGAAGACGCAAGTGTAATGTCGATTAAATAACAAGGTTTGCAAGCGATTATCAAGGAGAAATATAGTCCCCATGTCACTCACGTGGACTGGCGCATAAGCTTAATTTAGCTCTTGTGAACTCATGTGCTAATGTTTCAGCAATAAATAAGGTTTTTTAAAAAAATCTGGAAGCATTATATATCCATTTTTCACACTCTGATAATCATGTCCATCTCAAGAAAATCTAAGATTTTCAGAAGCAGAATGCTTAATTATAAAAACCTAATAAAAGAAAAGAATATTTACAATGTAATTGCTCTTGGAACACGATAAA